ACATTCATGAAGGCCTATGTGGCGGACACTTGGGGGGCAGGACCGTCACTCAGAAGGCACTACGACAGGGGTACTATTGGCCAACAATGAAAACAGACGCCGTCGGGCTAATCCGGAAGTGCGAGAAGTGCCAAAACCACGCCAATATTCACCATCAGCCTGTCGCCGACCTCAAGTACCTCACCAGCCCATGGCCCTTCGCACAATGGGGCATCGACCTACTCGGGCCATTCCCGCCAGCAACAGGAGGAAGGAAGTTCCTAGTAGTGGCAGTAGACTACTTCACCAAGTGAGTTGAAGTTGAAACTCTCGTAACCATCACAGCTCAAAACGTCCAAAACTTCTTCTGGAAGAACATAGTGTGCCGCTTCGGGCTACCTCAGGTGCTGATCTCCAATAATGGCAAGCAGTTCGAAGACATCAAATTCCAAGAGTGGTGCCAAGGCATGGGGATCTGGCAAAACTTCACGTCGGTTGTGCACCCACAAGCAAACGGTCAGGCAGAAGTCACGAACAGAGCTATCCTCCGCGGACTAAAAACCAAGCTAGACAGAGCTAAAGGGTTATGGGCAGACGAGCTGCCCAGCGTCCTATGGGCATACCGAACTACAGAGAAGACCGCCACTGCAGAAACTCTCTTCAACCTCACCTACGACACGGAGGCAGTCATCCCAGCCGAAATCGAAATCCCCTCACTTCGCTTGGAAGCATACAACAACAATACTAATAACGACGAGCTACGTACCAACCTCGACCTACTTGACGAGGTGAGGGACCTCGCATACATCAGAACCGCAGCATACCAGCAAAGGGTAGCTCGGTACTACAACGCTAGAGTTAAGAAATGAAACTTTCGCATCGGCGACCTGGTCCTCCGCAAAATCATGGTACCTGAGTCCGGCGTTGGAAAACTCGGGCCGAACTGGGAAGGAACCTACCGAGTAAAGAGAGTACTCGGGGGAACATACGAGCTCGAGACCCTAGAGGGTAAACAGGTACCCCGGGCATGGAACATCGTCAACTTGAGACGATTTTACCTATAAATTATCAAAATAAGCAAGCCATGAGCCACCGAAAGGGCCAAAATGCCGAGCTAGCAAAGACCTCGGCACCCTAAGGTCCAGAATGTCGAGCTAAAAAGGACCTCGGCACCGAAAGGGGCGGAATACCGAGCTAAAGATGATCTCGACACCTCATCAACGAAAGCAACCTGCACAAGTATGGATCCCGAAGTGCATAGCCTAGGCGGAGAACAGATCGAGCACATAGCCTTACTATGTTAACTCGCCTCGGGGCTTAAGTCTAGCAGCTCGGGTATATACTCACTTCGGCAAGAAGAGGATATTTGCACAACTTTTGAACAGAAAAAGTACTTCATTGCTAAATGTTTGCTTTACAATGTTTAAAAGGAAAAAACAAAAACAAACAAAAAACACAAACGAGCTCACAAGCCCAGAGGTCAATCTTCCTCGCCTTCAAAAGGGACTTCGACAACACCCGAAGGACCCGCTTCGTCTTCGGAATCCGCATCGTCATCAGCTGCGGCAGCCATCTCCTGAGTGATGCGTAAGGTGGTTATGGCACTGATATCGAGCTCGAGGTACGTGTTCCTTATCATTCATCGGCTCAACTTGAAACCCCGTCTGTATGAGCCCACCATCATATTGTCAAAGCGCGGCGAAGCGATGTAATCCTCGATGGCTTTCACCTTCGCCTCCTCGACGGCCTGAGAAAAGATCTAAGTCTTCTCCCTAATATCTTCTTGAAGGTACTCGACCTGATGCTCCAATCCAACTTCAGGTCAGCCATATGTCTCACCACCATTCCTAAGGCCTCTTTGTCCCTCCGAGACCTCGATAGCTTAGCCCGCGCAGCACGGGAAGCCGCTTCGGTAGCTTCTGCTCGCTTCAAGCCCCTCTCCGCCTGAATTGCCAAGGCATGGATAGAGGAGTTCACCTGCTAGAACGAGGACAAATTAACTCGATTAAAAAAAAAAAACCACTCCGACTTACCACCATGGCGTGAGTTGCAGCTCGAGCACCTATGAGATTGGTAGGGAGATCGGCCCACTGCGCGACCTCCTTAGGACAAGTGGCGGCCTTGCTTTTTCGGAGAGCATAGCTCGGCGTCAGCACGCTCCCAATCTCATCATGGCTCCCCGAGCCCGAAGGCACAGCCCGGGTATAGGCAGTGTCGGCATAGGGAGCCCCTGCCGCTTCTTGAATTGATGGGGGGACCTCGGGCTCCCTAGGAGGCTCCACCATCGGTGCCTCGGGCTCCGCCACCCGGGAAGGATCGGCGCGAACTCGCTTAGCAGCTCGCTTCCTCCGTTTCATGCCAGCAAAAAGGTTTGCACCTCGAGTCTTGTCTGCCTCCATAACACCTGCAAAAAGGAGCTCGGCGTCATAAAACCTACCCGAACTCATACTGGCCTGAATAAGCTTGTCCTTCATCAGGTAGACCTCGCACTTGAGCCCTTGTCGGGCCCAGTCCTAGAGGCCCTTCACCGCTTGTTTCAAGTGTAAGAGCTTGAAGCTCGGGCGAGGTGACAAGTAGTACGCCCTCCTACGCCCAAGCAGGGGACCCGCTTGTTTCTTAAGCATGAGAATAGCGGAAAAAATTTCCAAGTCCAAAGGAAGGCAATGCTCACAGCAAAGGGAGATGGTTTCGACAAGGTTGCAGGTAGAGTTCGGGTGAAGTTGACCTATAGTAACACCGAAATGGTTCATGACCTCGACGATTAGGGGATGGAAGGGAAGGCGCAACCCGACAACAAGCTGCTCCCAGAAAATCATGATCTCATCTGGACCGTGTTCCCAAGGAAAGTCGTTCGAGGGTAAAAAGTAAGGGACTAAAGCCTTTCGGATGTCATAGTAGAGGGTCCGAACTTGTCTGGAACCCGACCTCGGTGGGAGGTGGATGCCAAACTACCCGAGGTGACTCGGCCTACAGGCTCAAACTCGAGCTCTTCCTCGAGCTCTACCTCGGGCCTTGCCTCGGACTCACTGAGGCTATCGGGGGCAGCAGCTCGGTTTGTAGAACCAACATCAGACCCCCTCAGGAGACTACCTAAACTACCCGAGCTAGACATCGAAGCGAAGAGAGCTGAGGACTCACCAGAAAAAGCCACCGGGCTGTGAAGGCGTGACGCGAGCTGACAGGCTTGGATGCGAGCTCAAGGAACAAATGCTGAAGGATAACAGAGGAAAGTGATTGGGGGTCCCCCCACTATTTAAAGCCACTAAACCCGCGCATCAACGGCCAAGATCGAAACCATTCAATGGCGCCCCACAAAGTCAGCTGCGCACTCCCCGAAGAAAATATACTTTTGCACGCACGTTTGAAAATTTGAAACTGTTTGGCACGCACGTTCAAAAGTTTGAAAATTTAAAATCATTTGCGTGCGTGAACCACACGCAGCCCGAGACCGGCCCCTGGTCGAGCTAGGCCGACCCCGGTTGAGCCGAGAACACAAGCAAACCGGACCGAAGAAGTTTCAAACCAAGGCCAAAGTGTCCCAAGGCAAATCCACCCGTCATCCCGTGAACTCCCCACGCCGGGTCAGGACCCCAGGCATGGGGAGTGGGGGGCAATTGATGGAGGGAGATTTGACCCGACCCCTTGGCCATGCGACACGTGGAAGCAACCGAGAGTGACCTGGAAAAAGCGCCAGCTCGGCACGACAGCAGGCCCACAACTCGAGCTCCGAGGTAAAGAGTCCCGAGCTCCCTCAAGGAGGAACCTACAACCCGAGCTCCGAGCTAAAAAGTCCCGAGCTCCCCAAGGAGGAACCCGAGCTCTCCCTTCGAGGTCCTGAAACTTACAAGTACAAAAGGAAAAAAAAAACCCTCGAACTACCCCTGGGCAGTTCGGGCCATACTTCTATCCGAACTCAAGATTTCACCTCGCACACCACTTTGGCTCTAAGTTGCCTGACTGAACAACCGTACCTGACGCCCAGGAAACCGTACACAGAGGTGACGCACCTAACCGGTTAGGGGACTTACACATGACAGCCGCCATCCAACGGCCACCTGCCACCGCCATCTCAAACGGACAGAGGCGGCCCTGGAAACTGGCAGTGGAGATTATGACACCCAAACTAGCAATTGACAAAAGAAATGACACCCGACCTGGCAGAGGAAGTGACCCGATATGGCAGAGGTAATGATGCCCGAACTGGCAGAGGCATGGAAGTAAGTGTACAGGGTGATTATAAAAGGCTCCCATCTCGCAAAGAAGAGGGTATGTGATTGTTGCGCTTTTTCTGGTCTTAGAATTTCTCACTTCCTTTGCCTTCTGAAGAGCACTAACTTGAACTTCGGAGTGTTCCAACCGGATTCCTCCCCGGAAGTCTCCATTTTCTTCCTTGTTTCAGGCACCCCCAATCTCGTCAAAAGCGAAGTAACTGACAGTTATGACCGACTAGATTGTGCATCATCAATTATTTTATAGAAAAATATAATTTGATGGAGAAATTTTCATACCAACTACGGATGAAGTTTGTAAAATAAGTTGTTGTAGAGGAACAAAGTCGATTTTGTTTTCTAGATGTTTGATGCAATCTTCTCTTTCCTCGTCAACTTGTGAATTTTTGTTTACAGTCATTTGGTATTGATTATTTACGATTCTACAACTTTCAGGAATTGGATTTGTTTTTTTAATTGATATAAAATATATAAAGTGCTTCTTTATAACGGGCTCGAAGTGATGTATATCATTGTTGGAAATTGTTGCTTGCATTTCATTTCCCTACGTAGATATAAGAAAGAAGAAATGTGTTACTGATCATCTTTTATATTAAATATAATAAATAAGGAGTCCGCGTTCTGTGCATCCGTGGGTGCATCAGACGCATGAACCTGCGAATGAGAAAATGACACGTTGATCAACTAATGTTAATATCCGTTTCAGTTTAATCGGACGGTTTACGCGGACATGAACCGGTTTGTGCGGACACGAAGCTGTCTGGAATACAGACAAAAGGGCCTCATTTTTTCGATTTTGTTTGCTCCTTCCACAGAACCCTACCCTTCCTCCATCAGCGGCAACAGAGTTCTAGCGGTTGATCGATAGTGACAATGAGACCTCCGGCAGCAATGTGTTCTTTTCTCTTCTTCTTCTCCTTTTTTCATCGTCTTCTCCGATGATAGGCGGCGATGCCCAGCCTTTTAACTCTTCTCTTCTTCTTTTTTGTTTAATTTCATCTTCGGTTTTGTTGTTCTGATGCAAGCTCATTGATAAAACTCTGTAGTAAGATCTTTTTCGTTTTTGTTGTTTGCTGTTCCCGTCTGTAGGAAATCTCAATTTGTTGTTCCTGTCTGTAGGAAATCTCAATTTGAAAACTAAGGTCTTTCTGTTGAGATAAGCCTACAGAACATTTGGATGGATGGATGCAACCCATCATTTTGAAAAATTCAACAAATTCAACAAATCCCTAATCTCTAAATGCTTTGTTTTCTGATGCTGTTAAACCCTAAAATTCAACAATTGTTGCATCTACCATATGCCATATGATGCTTAGATATTCAGTCTGAATACTCTGATTCTTCTTTTCTTTTTCTTTTTTTTTGTTCATATATAATCAGGTTTAGGACCATATACTAGCACCGGATGTAATTCGCTCTTTCTGTTTTTGGAGTGGAATCCTCATTCACGCTCATCTATTACTGTGTTTTAGTACCGGTCCTACCACCTGTACCTGTTCGTTCTTCAGATCGGACCTATCACTAGAGAGGACAAAGAAGAAGAGGAGAAGAAAAATGATCACCGGCCCTACCACCAGAGTTACTTGTCGAAGTAGAAGAATGGAGAGTAGAGGAGAAGAAGAATACGTCGCCGCCGGAGGTATTTTTTTCGCCGTCGATGAACCGCCGGAACTCTATTGCCGCTGATGGAGGAAGGGTTTGGTGTATGGATAGAGTTCGGTGGAAGAAGCTCAGGAAAACAGAATCGAAGAAATGAGACCCTTTTGTCCCAGACCGGTTCGTATTCACGTGAACCATCCGATTGAGTCAACCAGACCACATTAACACTCAAACGGACATTAATGTTGGCCTGATCGACGTGTCATTCTCCCATTCGCAGGTTCACACATCCAGTGCACCCACGGGTTCACAGAAGGCGGACTCAGAAATAAGATACATATAAAGAATAAAAAAACCTTTATAATTTATTACATATAAAGAATAGAACTTGTCGCACAAAATTCTCTTATGAATTAGTGACTCAACAATTTCCTTTATTGGATCTTCCTAAGTTTCAGTTTAGAGAAAGCAGTAAATAGATGGAGTTTTTACTATTGTCTTCTTTTGGTCTTGACAAAGTCTTGCTTTATGTTAGTTCTCAGCCTAAATTAATATTCATTGTATTCTAGTCTTTAATCTAAAGTTTGTTCATAAAACTTTGTCTTCTTCTCAATAGACCAGAATCTATCTTTAATTTACCAATATTCATCACATAGAAAAGCTTTTCTTTATATCTTTCAGTAATTGTACAAGTTGGATGAGCTAGGTTTTGCCCACCTAGAAGTTCGAAGATTTATAAGTAACCATTGTGTATTTTTGTTTCTTTTGGTGTATGATAGAAACGAGTAGTTTTGAACTCAAACTTGGAAATGAAATTGTAATCAATAAATAAATAATTTAGAGATGAAGGTGAAGCTTGGTTTTCCTAGCTTTGACGCCGGGCTGTTGGTGCTGATTCTGGTTCACGTTCTGTTGTTGGTTCAGATTGTGCTGTTGTGGCTGTTGGGACTGTTGGTGTTGTGGTTGCTGCTGCACTAGGGCGGTAAACCTTTCCTCCCAAGTTCGCATCTAAAAGGTTCATATCGCGGACATAGTACACCAGTTCGTGGAACTGTAACACGTCGATCCCTGTGGGAATCACAGATGGCTCAACTGAAGGGAGAGGGGCATTCACTTGGTTCAGAGGGAAGGCTACGTTCGACACTACTAGTACTCTGGGTAGAGTTAAGGGCATTGTGAATTGCCCGATGGTCAGTGAGGGTACTTCAGGATGGGATCTTGGTTGCTCTTGCCCCCCAATGACCTAGTTGCTGTTGTTGTTGCTGTTTGTGGGCTAGCTGTTGCTTGATGAAGCCATTGGATCAGTGAAAGTAGGAGAGCAAAGTGAGACTACGACTTTGTGTTGCGTGTTCCCACAAGCGGTGCCAATTGATGGTATGCGATTCGGTGCTCCCTACTGGAAAGCAGCATGGACGTCGAATTGCTATGCGGTCAGGTCGACCTGCAAGGAAGGAAGGTTAGAGGTCCTGGGGTACTTTATCCAGTGTGGGTACTTCGATGCTTAAGTTAGCGTGGGAGATCATAGAGATCTAATTGCTTTAAAAGTAATAGCAAGTGAGAGTTAAATCGCGTGTACCTTGTAAAGTTAGAGGCCCACGATGCTGTATCGTGGGCCTCACAAAGCGTGTCTAAGATCACTGGCTCGTCTAACACAAAGTTCGTTCCACACCCGAAGATGGACTTTGTATAAGCTGATGAGGCTTATCCAGGTCCGTCCGATTCGGGCAAGATAGGGATAAGATCCGTTGGCATGCGGTGTGATCCTGAAGAAATTGGAGATAGCTGACTCGCTTCTTGAAGGAGGCAATGTGGCACCTCAGCAGGTCAGTGAGTATGGCGAGCTGCTCGGGCCCCGGTCTTAGCTAAGTGACCCAAGGTGCCCAAGGTGACTTGGACTACTGAGGTGTCCAAGGATGCTGAAGTTTCACCAAGTCCGAGTCAATGGATTGCTCCACGTGTCATCATGTCAATGCTCAAGCCAAATTATCCCTCATCTCATCAATATATGTATATATATGTTTTTAATGGCGTGTCATTAAATGTGATAATTAATTAAGAGTCATATATAATGAATTTGAATTTGAAAAGTTGATATTTAAAACTTGCCAAAATTAAATAAGAGAGAGAGAGAAAATAATATTAAATTCAAATTGTAAAGACCGATACATATAGCGTATTGGACCATATTGGGCTTGTATTAGCCGATATAGACTTAAAATGAAATACAAATTATGTCAAACAAAATGTAGGGGAGGGGGGGATTCAAATGAGAATCCCATTCTTGTCAAACAAAGTGTAGGCATTCCAATTCTGATTTCAAGTATAGCTATAAATCAGGTCGCGTCGCCCCTGGCACAATGGGATGGGTTGTGCTGGGTTTGGGTTTCCAGGCGAATGGACTGGAACGACACGAAGTGACTGAGAGGGTAGTGCCTTATACGCGTCAATACAACCCTAATATATGTATATATATATACATATACATATATATATATTATTATTTCATATATAAATAATTGTATACATCAAAATTTATATAAAACAAGTGTTGAAGTTTTTTTTTATCTATTTTGATAATTTATTTTAAAATTTTCATTTGAAATTTTAAAAAAAGATACCTCTCATTGATTGTCTTGGCCAATGACCCAGTCTGGCCCAAGTATTTGCCCGTGGCATGACATGGCATGAGTTGAGCTTGCCTGGGCCCATGCCTTGGGGCTATCCGGGCCAGACCATTGAAGTATCTCAGAGGAAGCAAGCATGGGCTGGCTTGGCCCGCCAAAAGCACATATTGTGTTAAATCGGTCCAACATGGCCCGATTTACACCTCTAATTTCATGCACCTATTTCTGAAAACCAAACAGACACTGAAATTATTATTGTTATATGAAAATTTCACGTGCAATAGACATGCATTTTAGTGAAATCAAATTTGTAGAAAGTCCCACATCGATCAGATACATCAAACTGGAGTTTGTTATCTATTCTTTTGCAAGTAGATACGTCGCTGAGCTCGGTAATGTGAGCTTGTAACCCAAACGGGAGCATCAAAGTGGTCCGGCACGCCCGTTCCAAGTAGGGAGTTGAGCAATGGGGCTTGAGCGAAGGATAACGAGTCGGTGCTCCGCTGATCCACTCATCACCCTAGGAATTGTTCTCAATCGGACGACCACTTTTTGCCCTAATTACCATATCATCTCCACCACTCCGTCCAGCTTCCTCTCTAAGGTCAGAGTTTCTCAACTTTTTGCGTTGAAGATTTAGATTAAGTTGTCCTTAGCTTGTTTGTCAAAGTTCACTCCTATTGAGAGTCGATACTGCACTCACTTGAAATTCTACAAAATGCAAAGTACCCTGTTGAATAATAGCCTTTTATATGTTTAGGCAGTGGCAGCCCAGATTGACCAAAAATGCATTATTGTCATTAGACACACTGCCTAGCATTATTTTCTGAAATTCTCAGCGAGTTGCCTCAAAGCCCATGTGGCATATTTGGGAGGCCGACCATCTTGGTTCCTGGTAGTTCTGCTACCCCTAATCTTTCAGTTCTTCAAATTTTTGTTTTTCTACCATCTTGTGTTTCAATTTCCACAAAATATGATTAAAGAATGTAAACATCATCAATACTAGTGTCAACATTAATATGGAGATTTATAAAACATGCATTACTACAAAATTATTAATTTAAAAGATCTTGAGAAAGAACAATAGAATAGAAGGCTCTGATTAACTCATTCTATTCATAGTTTTAAAGGTGTATTTACTTTTCTACCATAAAAAAAAAAGGAAATTGAAACACAAAAATTATTTATTCATCGCTAGTTTGCTAATGAATCTAGCACTACTAATAGTTTTTTCTCCACTACTAAATTAATTGGTCTTTTGTTGGTATGAATAAAAAATATACTTCGATTTTAGCTTCCATATACTAAACTAAGAAGGTTACAATATACAACATTGGTTGCATATGTGTCACTATCATCATCAATCGATCTTGGTTTTGTGAGTACTTTCAATGATGTAGAAATTTTTATTCTTAATAAAGCAACAGTAGTACAATGGACTGGCAGTTGTAATAAAAGAAACCCACAAGTATGGACAGGCCCAATGCAGATTTTTTATTTTCACTGTAGAGTTATAAACATTCAAAAGATTAAAAACCCACATTCTATGCACTCATACCCGCTAATGAATTAATATCAATTTCGAACTGGCACCTACCCTAAATGTACTCTAAGCTTACAAATTCTGATCCTGTGCTGAATCATCATTCTCCCTAAAAGAAACCAGTTCCATGAAAATCTTAAAGAAAAAGAAATTCGTAAAAAAGATAATTAGTGTGGACACTCCTGACGGATACTTCAAATGGGCACAAGTTCATGCATCACTTATTCTCTTAAGTTTTAAGCAACGAACTATATATTCACTTAATAGGCGATCGATTGAATAGTTATAGAGTGTTGCTCACATACTTTGTCCCACTTATCCGTCTATGCAACGATGCATCTAGTCTAATTAACCAAGGAAAAATATGAAATGCCATTTGGATTTGTATTGCAGCCCATTCCTGTCTCACAACCTTGAAATCTTTAGGCAAAGCTCTAACAACAGTGGCAACTACAACACTAATGACATCGGCTACGAAGGAAGAATCAGACATCTATGGTGCCGCTTTTGACCCCCCCTTGAAACTCTTCCACGAAGATACAATGTCACCAGAACAACTCCTCTAGAGCTTCCACTGCCGACTCTTACTGCTAACCTTTTCTTGCAGAAGTTGAGAAACCCAAGAAACCAAATGTAAGGAAATAAATGGAACAAAATCAAAGAAAGAAGAAGAAAATGGGAGAAGCCCAAAGAACATATGGGGATTCAAGATTACATGGTTGTCTTTCTCGTGCTTTTTTAGATCCATAAAAGTTTTCAGTTATTTCCCCGAAGCACCCATTTTTGAAAACCTCTTGCTCGAGTTGAACAAAGTCTCAGAAACCTTAAAAACCCCTTGATGGTGCGTAATCTGGAAGCTCCTAGCTGGAAGATTACCTGGACACTAGTCGCGTAGCGAGGTAGACTAAGTTGCAAGACAAATGATCAGAGAACCCGGGATGGCTAACCCGGCGAGGTCACTCCGATGCTTAAGTTAGTATTGTACTCTAGTTGCGAGCTGAAATCTTGAATGCAAGTAAGCTAGTGAGCAAGTAATTGCACGTACTTGAGTCTTGGGGGTTGATGTCCTTATATAGCTAGGCTGTTGTAGGTCTCATGAAACGCTCCCATAATCCTTGCCCTACGACGTAAGGATCTATTCCACTTTGGAAGGAGGGTAACGTACTAGTTAATAAGGTTTACCGTTTTCCTTCGATTCGGGTGGGGTGAGGATAAGACTTACAGTTACGCGACGTGATTCTAAGAAGTTCGAAGACAACTAACAAGCTTCTAGGTTCAATTATGTAGCACCTCGGTGCGCGTGGGTACCGAGGTGCTCCAGCTCCAAAGTAACCCAACACCCGAGGTCCCCCGATCTGCTGATGTGGCACCACAAGCTGATTTGTCATTTGGCTAATAGGCTGCATCCATGTGTCTTTTACTTATTAGGTCGGGTCAAATCACCCCTCATCACCCCCTACTTCTCTAGTTCTAAGAAGGAAAACAGCTTCCTCTTTATGGGACTTTAAAATGCCTGCTCTTTAGAGGTTGTTAAGAGAGAGAGAGAGAGAGAGAGTGCAATAGCCAATAGGTATTCGTAGACAAATCATCCATAGGAAGGCAGACCTCCAACCGCCACTTCCCCTTCTTCGAGAGTACATGTGGACCGTATGAGGATGGAACAATGTGTTCTGGTATAGTCTTTAAGGTAAAAGACAATGAACAATGCCTTTTATTGAATGGTAGTTTTGACATTTTTAAAAGTTTTAAGTTGTACATATCATCACGTGATATAAATAATTGACGAATTGCTAATGACAGGGACTAAATTGATACATTTTGAAAGTTTAGGTATTGAATTAGTACATTTTAAAGTCCAAGGACCAAAGTGACATTAGGCCAAATTAGAGGTACTAAACTAGAAATTTCCCTCTATTTTTGGGAAAATCCCTATTAGTACCTTGTACGTTGGGTCTAATGCCACTTTGGTTCCCAAACTTTAAAATGCAACAATTCAGTACTCGGACTTTCAAAATGTGACAATCCAGTACCTGCCGTTAACTAGTTGTTAATCAACTGTTAAGTGACATTTTAAAAAAACACAAATGCCCTTTGAGTGTCATCTAATTTTCTTTCTCAACTATGCAAATATTGACCAAAAAATTAATAGTCCCAAATTCTTGCTTCTTCTATTCAAGAAAGTTGGGATCACTAGAATGTCCATAACCCCAACTTTCTTGAGTGGAAGAAGCAAAGATTTGGGACTTTTAATTTTTTGTTAATATTTAGATGGTTGATAAAGAAAATTAAATGACACTCAAAGGATATTTATGTTCTTTTCAAATTTAATTTAACAGAATTAAAATACTGATTGTCCTATTTTAAAGTTCAGGGACCAAAGTGGCACTAGACTCAAAATACTGGCTAATAATCGGAAAATTTCCCTTTATTTTTTAACGACAGGATGAATTGACGCACTTGACCCGATGGTCGGAGGAAACCAATACACCATTTCGTCTCTGCAAGTCGCAAATAACTCATTTTTTCTTTCTTTTCGCCTTCGAAGATGTTGAGAACTCGCTTGGTCTCTTTCGCGCTTGGTTTCTCAGTTGCAGGTGCTGCGATCTCCCATTTCGTGTGGAGAGATCTATGGGCTGATAGACACTCCCTCTCTTCTGATGTACTATTCCATCTCTCTATCTCTCGTTCTTTGTTCCTTTTTTTCTTCTGTTGCTTTATTTATTGGTTCTTATCTTCATTTTCTTGCTTGTTCATTTCCGTGTAGATGAAGGAGAGGTTTGATATACTGGAAGCCAGAGTCTCGAATCTTGAGTCACTTGCTATCATCAAATCTGAAACAGTTAAGGTAATTTCCCCTACTTGTTTCAATATGAAACTAGGTGAGAAAACCTAAAATTAAGGAAAGAAGAAACATTAAATCCTTAAATGAGCTTTGGGTATGTTAATGTTTTAATAGCTCTTCATTTGGTGGAGCTTAGAACAACGGAGGCTGTATGTTTCAGTAAAATTTCAGGTCCGAGTTAGCTGAAAAAATACTGTGGTGGGTTTTATGCGAAGACCTACATCAGGGCCTTCTTAACACGCCCTCTGGTTCTGTTTATGTGTATTTCTTTCGTTAATTTCTGCATTGATTATTAGTTCTTAATGAACAATACAAGGATGCTTCATTGATAAGATGTAGCGAAGATGAAGAGAACTGATAAGACGTAGCATCTGTGAAGAGTGAGAATCATTCAGAATCTAGGCAATTTGGTTAACAATATTAGTTATCTAGCAATTCATTGCAGAACTTTTTAGATTCATATTCCCAGTGGTACGTGAATTGAAAGAAAAAGAAACGTTTATACAAAAAATGCTATTTTATGGTGTTTGGTTGCACAAAAAGGCAGTAAAAAGAAATCATTTTCAGAAACACTCGTGGTAGTTCTAGGAAAATGACATTCCTTAAGGGGTGTGCTATAATAAGCCCCGAAAACAGTACATTGATAAAAAAAGCCCCGAAAACAGTAAAGCAAAATGAAGCTTTCAGTATCAAAGAATTCTTCATGGGGAAATTCCCTGAATTCTTTCTGATAGACGGCCAAGAATGGGCAGCTCCAATTCCTCTTCTTAAGGCAGCTTCTTTGGGAGGGGTCCTGTTCCAAAAACTTTTCATATTTTTTTCTTCCCAGGCTAACCAGAAGATAGTGAAAAGGAACCAATGCCACAAAATCTTTCCCCTTCTGCTTAAACCTCTCAGACGCCAACGAGAGAGGGGGATCCTGGACTGACCAGAGGAAGCACCATTTTGACTTTGGAGATGTTCCAGAAGACAGCCCAAATATGGTGGCTGCAACTGCAGTGTTGAAAAAGATGGCTAGCTATTCCATTCTCTCTGAACACAACAGACCAGGTTGGGAATATGCACATTTGTCAAGGTCTTCTGTCCAAACCAGAAAAACTATATTTAATGGGACTGTGATTCCATACAGAACCTTCTTTCAGCTACATTAATCATTGGATCCATAGCCATTTTGAAGTAAATTAGTTCTGGGAAGATTACATCTTGCTTCAAAGTCTTTGATATAAAATCACTTGTAGCTGTCTTGAGGTACATTTGATGTCAAGATGGGGGCCAAACTATTTGACTGGGAGGCTACCGACTTTGCATCTTAAATTGTAGCTAGATCTACTAAGACTACTCACCTTACTGATCCCCATTAGTTCTCATTTTGACAAGTCTATGTGGATGCTTACACAATTTCAAACCATCTGACAATGAACTTGTAATCAATGTTTTAAAACACTAGAGGCGTGATGTGTAGTTCAAAATGCAAGATGTGTAAGCCTCTCGAGCACAAGGAGGCATAAGCCTTCTCAATAGGAGGAGGAGGAGGAGGAGGCAGAGGAAGAGGAAGAAAAACAAGAACAAGAAGAAGGAACAAGAAGAGGATCTAAAGCTTTGGGTCTTGATGAGTTTACGATGGCATTCTATCAAAATGTTGAGAAATCTTTAAGGATGATTTGCAGAAGCTTTTAAATGAATTTATTGGGCAAGGTATTATCAATCCAGGGATTAATTCTACTTTTATTACTCTAATCCCCAAGACACTTGAAGCATTGCATCCTAAGGATTTCAAGCCAATCAGTCTAATCAATAGTTTATACAAATTCATTGCTTAGGTGTTATCCAGGAGAATTAGGGTTGTCCTGCCTTCTTTGATCTCTCCGTCTCAAGGGGCCTTTGTTTAGGATAGGCAAATTGTGGATCAGACATTAATTGCTAATGAATGTGTTGAACAAATAAGGAGATTTGGAAAGAAGGGGTTGGTTTGCAAGTTGGATCTGGAAAAAGCTTATAACCTGGTTGATTGGGGATTCTTGTTGAATGTAACGAAGAGCTTTGGGTTTGGGGACAGGTGCTGCAGATGGATTCTTGGTTGTATAAAATCTTGTCACTATTCAATCTTGGTTAACAGGGCTGTGGTGGACCACTTTCCTGCTATTAGGGGAATTAGGTAGGGTGACCCCCCATCCCCTTTTCTTTTCACTCTAATAGCAGATGTACTTGGGAGACTAATTTATAGGTTTGATGAGAGGTTGGAGAATTGGTAGAGAGGAGATTCCTATCGCCCATCTTAAGTTTGCTGATGACACAATATTATTCTGTGATGGGAGCGATCGGAGATATGTGAGAGTCTTAAGTGGATAGTTTTCTTGTTTGAGAGAATGTCGAATTTGAAAGTGAATTGGGGTAAAAGTTGTCTTGTGTGAACTGATCAACCACTACTGCAACTTGGGTGGCTCTGGAACTTCATACACTGCCAGGTAGCTAGCAGCATCTGGAACTTCTTTCTACAGTTAGTCGGCTTCAGTTGGGTTGCTCCTAAGCATCTGCAGGATCTGATTTCTCAGTGGCAAGGAAGAGGTCTGAGCAAGAGAGGTAAGACCTATTGGCTGATAATACTGCATGCTGTTCTTTGGGGAATTTGGGAGGAAAGAAACAATAGGCTGTTTGAAAATAGGTCCAAATCTAAAGGTGAACTGATCAACCACTACTGCAACTTGTGGGCCTCTAGTTTAGAGGAGTTCACAGGAGTTAGTATCAATGATCTCAGCAGAAACATATATAACTTCCTGGTTTCTTCCCCTCCTACCCCACTCTCTACCAGAGCTCCTTTAGTTAGAAGGGAAGGAATCTGGACTCTCAGCTTTGATGGAAGTGCTTATGGTAACCCCGGAGCTGCCGGCATTGGAGGAATTCTAAGAGATGAGAATGGCCACACATGCTGGGTTTATAGTGGTCCGATTGGGATAGCTGACTCAACAAAGGCAGAATTGTTAGCAGCTCTAACAGGGATTCACCTAGTAAGAAAACTGGGTATCCAAAGCCTCTCAACTGAAGGTGACTCAGCCAATACTATAAGATGGTTGGAACAATAGGAAACTGGACCTTGAAGACTTAAGTCACTTCCTATCAGAGGCAAGGGATTGGGGTCAGCCGGTCAGCCTGTTCTGCATAAGATTAGGGGCTTTTGTTGGGAAGTTTTCTTCTTGTGAGCTTATACAAAGGAAAAAACCTAATTGCTGCTTATCCCCTCTTGGTGTCCTTTGTAAGGCTAATGGGGAGTCCACTCATCACTTATTAATGTCCTGTTCATTACACTGTCAATTTGGGAATGGGCTTCTTATTTGGGTGGAGGTGAATCCCTTTGCCTAATGTTCATAGGCTGTTTGACCCTACCTTTGTTAGTTGGCAAAAGAAAAGGGGAAAAACTTTATGGAGATGTTTAAGGGCTGCAGTTTGCTGGTCTGTCCAGGAAGAAAGAAATCAAAGGATGTTTGAAGGCAAAGAAAGAAGTATGGATGGCCTAACTAAAGTCATTACAGTTGGGGTGATCCATTGGGTGAAAACTTGAAAGCTTTTAGATGGAATTCTGGCAGTTGTTCGGTTGATTTGAGAAGGAAGTGGAGAGAAGTGGCTGATTCCAAGCCTTTGAAGGAGTTAGTTGTGCCTAATTGGTCTCCCCCTACTAATGGTTTCATCAATCTGAATTTCATTGGTAGCAATGAGGGAAATCCCGGATCCTCAGGTATTGGGGGTGTTTTCAGGGATGAGGATGGCAATATTCTAGCTCTTTTTTGTTCTCCCATTGGTGTTAGGGACTCATTAAGGACAGAAATCCTTGCTGTTTTGGAAGGAGCTATGAGAGCCAAAGAGCTTAACCTTTGTAAGGTGCTTATTGAAGTGGATTCTAAGCTGGTTATTGGTTGGCTTCAAAAAGAGGAGATGGGATGGTGGGGTTACATCAGTGAAAAAAGGAAATTTAGACGTTTGACTCAAGGAATGGATATCAAGATGAATTGGGTGACTCAAGGAATGGATATTGTAATCAATTTTCTTGCTTCTTCTGGAGGAGCTAAGAAAGTTTATCTCCTTATTTGTATCTTCTGTTTATGAATTATTAATGAATTAATGAATTTCAGTTATTGATCAAAACATAAAAAAGACAAGCGGATTGAGGTAGTGTTATGAAGTAATAGGCAATGAAAGTATTTGGACCCCGAGGTTCCATAGAAACTTTAATGATAGGAGCTTGAAAAGGTAGTGGTGTTTTTTCTTTCTTTCTTTCTTTTTTTTTTTTTTTTTTTTTTTTTTTTTATCAAAGTGGCATCCAAAAAATGATGGATTTGGAGGTGGGAAACATCTGGAGTTTTCTTGGTGAAGTCTTGTGCTAGAAGATTAGTTAATGTGAGGGATAGCTACTTACTGTCAAAAGTGGTCTGAGAAATGGGAGTCGCTTCAAGGAAAGCTTTCAAGGTCTGGACAACAGTATTAAATAAATGCCTAACTAGAAAGAATCTTATCAAAAGAGGAGTGCATATTCCTTAATATGGTTGCATGCTGTGTGACCACCTTGTGAAATTGTTGACCATATTTTCACCCATTTCCTAAGTAGTATCAGAATTTGGTTTCTTTTTTCCCCTAAAGTTTCTGCATGTTAAGGAGACTTTGGAGAGCTGGCAGCTGGGAAGCTTGAATAAGAAGGGGAAGAAAGCTTGAGAGGCATTCCACTTGTTGTAATCGGGCTCTCTACTCATGATATTTTCAAAATGAAGTGCACCAAGAGGATGAAATGTTGAAGAGGAAATTGTTTGGAAACATTCCCTTTCGTGATTGTTTTCTATAGACACCATAATGGGCTGGCTGCAAAGGCTCATTCACGTTTTTGTTTCTGTAGAACCTTTTATAGTCTTTGTATGGTTTGTTGGTGTGTAGCTCTTGGGGGTCTCAGTTTTTGAGTTCGTTTTTCTCAATGCATACATGCTACCTTTTTCTTGAAAAAAAAATTGCAGTGTTTGGACCTTTTTAATGGCTGCTCTCTTTTACTAGGAGCAGGTTATCTGAAGGAACCATTCGGAATTGGTATCCTCATGGCTGATGTGAGGTTTTCACAAAAAGGTGCTCTTTGGACTTAAGAGACTTGATTTTTTGTGAGGATAAAAGTTCCTAGAAGTGGTGATAGGCAGAACAGGACAGCAAATGATTCTTAAAAAGGAACAGCAAGTGGTTACTGGTGTGGTGGATAGCTTTTTCAGGGGTTTCCAAGGTTTCTTCTCTAATCATTTTAGGAATCAACACATCCATTTATTCTTTTTATGTATACATACCTCTATATTTATATTTTCTACATAGTTTTATTTAAAGCCCTTGTATATGACATGGCCTGGTAACTATTACTTTTTTGTCATAGACTTAATATAATCACTTTTAGGTTGTTTTTGGTTCAGGATTGAACTAAGGTTGCTGGAAAAATTGGTAGTCAGTTCTGTAGTCTCCATAGTTGTCAAGGTGACTAGGTGATATTTAGAGGTTGCCTCGCCCAAAGCCAAGATGGTTTTCGTATTAGGCGCTCACCCATATATATTATTGTTTTTGAATGCCCATATACATTATTTCATTTTATTGGTTGGTTTATTTTATTAGAATACACCCCGTTGTATATTACAATTTTTATTATGATAATTAATTTTTTATTAAAACTATGAAAGTTTCTTTGGGTTTGAGTTCTGAACTGAGACTGAGGACTAATAAGTTTCCATTGTTTCAGTCCAAGTCGTCCAGGACCTCCAGGGAAGTTTCTTCTTCTTAAACGGTTCAAGTTGTTCTGTGCTCCTGTATTTTTTTTCTTACTATTTTTTAAGAAATTTTTTGGGAACAAAACAGGGGCTCTTCCTCCTCCTCCTCCAAATCGTCCTATTACTCCTGTATCTTATTTTCTTTCTTTTTTTTTTAAATACTTTTGGGAACGAACAGGGGCTCTGCCCCCTTCTTCTTCTTCTTCTTCTTCTTCTTCTTCTTCTTAAACAGGAGCTGTGCCCCAACTTCCAAAATTTTTTCCTCTATTTTTTTGTACTATTTTTTAATAGTTTTTCTTGGAACAAAACAAGGGCTCCATCCCCTTATTTTTCTCTCTCCTATTTTTTTATTAGAAACGGTATCTTTCATTAGACAGATTAAGAGAATACATTGTCACCACCCAGTTAAGGGTGTTTACCCCAAGAAAAGTGCTTTCTGATTACAGAACAGCCCAAAACAAGTTTTCCCTGAAAGTTCCTTGCTTTGCAAGGGTTTCGGCTAGTCCATTTGTTGACCTCCTTGTCCACTTGAACAGTGCCCCAACCTCCCTTGCTAAGCAGTTTATTTCCCTCATGAATTGTCGATGTACCCAAGCCCCCAAGTTATGTGACTGCAACCACCCAATTAATAGTTTAGAGTCCCCTTCTACCTCAATCTGGTGTAGGCCCCATTGTTTAGCCAGCCTTAGACCTTGTAGCAAGGCCATAATCTCTACTCTCAAAGAGTCTCCATCACCTATTGGACCTGAATACAGTGCAACCAGTCTGCCCTCCCTGTCTCTGAAGGCTCCTCCCACCCGAGAGGGACCCAGGATTCCTAAGGAGCTCCCATCGAAGTTCAGCTTCACCCATTGATGTGCAGGAGGGATCCATTGCTCCTTTAACACAGACCTCAATGAAGAAGAGTTTGCCACAGTGTAACATCCTCTAAACAAATCATCAGTTGAATAATCTTTAAATAAAGGGGATGCTTTAAGCCAATGAATGACCTTGGTAGAAATGCAGTCAATGATTTGCTCCTTAGATCTTTCAGAACCCTGGAAGATCCTATTGTTTCTTTCTTCCCAGATTGACCACAAAACAACTGCTCATGTTGCTCTCCACATTGCTCTCCCCTTCTTCTTTGGAGGTCTAAAGAAGTTTGGATCAAAGAGTCTTACTACATCCGAAGGAGGGGTCCACCTGCATCCAAAGAGAGAGGAAAACCAATTCCAAACAAAGGATACAAAAGGACAGGATATAAATAAGTGTTTAATGGTCTCGCCACAGGCCAAGCAGAGGCTACACACGTGGGGTGAAAGGCAGTAGTTTGGCCTCCTCTCTCCTTTTTCACTGCATTCTTCCTTTTTATTGGCCTGAAACAGGGTCTCCGCCCCTTTAAACACAGTCCAAGTTGTCCTCTTACTCCTGTATTTTTATTATTTTTTTTTCTTTTTTTAAGAAGTATTTTTTTGGGAACAAAACAGGGCTCTGCCCCCCTTATTTTTCTCTTTTTTCTTTTGCTTTATTCCCCTCTTTTTGTTGGCCTGAAACAGACTATTAAACATTGGAATTAATATATTTAAATGATGTATATATGATGGCATTTTGTGTTTTTTATATGAAATTTATACTTAGTTACTTATTTGAATGATTTAATTGCTAATAGGTAGTATACAGGTATGTTGGTTAGTATAAAAAACTAATAAAGTAGCTTAGGAGGGGTAAGGATCTTTAGATTTTATACTTGTAGATTCCATTGCCTAGGCATCGCCTAGGTGCCCTAGGTGCCTTGACAACTATGGTAGTCTCCTAGTCATGTCATGTAGGTCCATTTCTGCTGTGAAGTGTGACTCAACAGACACATTAATGACTGGGGAATTAGTCATCAAGTACTAGGGAAGTGGAATTTAATTCCAAATCCACTCCACCATTCAGAACCGAGCCTTATTTTTTACTTTGTTAAGAATTATATTACTATAAAGAGGGAGAGGGAACACCAGAAAATATGTAAAGATCATGGAAAGTAAGAAACTACAATTACAGTATCATCCTTCCACCAAAACAAAATAAAAAAATGATGTGATCTTTCTGAATCTGGTTTTGATGGACAACTCTTCATCATATCGTTCAGGAGGTGAAATTCTATGGTGGTCTTGGCAATGAGGAAACTCTGAAGGAAATAATATTTATTTCCTGCATTATTACTAGAATAGAGCATCCTTAGGTTCTAATCTTCTCACTTTATTTTATTTCTTGAACTGGTAATTCTTCTCTAACTGTATGTCTCCTTTTACAAATATGGTTATTTTTTGTTTTTTGGTTCCATGGGACTGACTACACAACAGGAGGTAGCCCATTCCTGAAAGCTATAACCTCCACCAGTCTGCTACAATACTGAGCCAGTTGGCACCTTTGGGATTATGGTTATTTAACAAAATAAATAAAAAAATAAAAACAGAGAAGAGAATCTTTCTCTATGTGATTGCTCATTTAGTAAATGATACACATTAAGATGTATCAGTGGTTAAGATGTATTTTTATTGATGGTCTTTCTTTCTTCCTTTTGCTTCAGTAGCTTGACATTATTTCTTATGAATGTTTGATCAAATTTTCATTGCAGGATGAAAGCTAATTTAAGACTGAAGCCCATACGTTAAGCTTCAAATGATTGGATTTTAGTTCTTTTCTGCTCCAAGTTATTGGTAATTGGGTGATCAACACATATATAAGAGATGTTCCATATGGACAAAGGCACCTTAGAATTGTATCCTAATGCTTTGCTTGGAATCATTAGGTTCTTGATTTGTTCTAAGAAAATGGAGAATGACTTCTTATTTATCAAAAAAAAATGGAGAATGACCTCTTTTCTGATTGCTAATATGAGAAGACTTAACATTTATCTTGTCAAGAAAATGGGAGAAGAAATAATTTATATTTGAGGCTCTAAAAGACCTTTGCTTTTCTTTTTCTTTTGTTTTTTTTGAGGGTGGGGGGGATGGGCGGTTGAATCGTTTGTGTTCTTTTCATCATTGGCAACAAGAAGGTGGATTTGAAATGAGTTTGGTATGACGTACATGCAAAGGATACAGCTTCGTAACATATTTGCAATTTTTGGTATGACGTACATGTCAAGAATTGCAATTTTTGTGTTAACATATTTGCAATTTCCTATTTGTTCGCCAGGACTCTATTAGGTATCTTTTCTATGACCTAAGTGAATAAAAGGTCTTTTCTACTTCAATGACTATTTCCTATAAAATGATTATATCTCAAGTAATCAATATCAGGAAGTTAATTCTTAATGAGGAGAACTTTGATGTAGTGGGAAAGGTCATACAAAATACAAACATCAAGCTTAGAAGATTTCCCTTGACTTGTATAGAAGTTATGTTAGATATAGGCTCCTTGAAGTTGGTAGATGCCATGGAAGTTGAGATCGACTCAATGAAATCAAAAGAATTTGGATTCTTGTAGAACTACCCCTTGGGGTAAAAACAATTGGTTGCAATTAGATCTTCAAGAAGAATAATGACTTTAATGCAAAGTTTGAGACTTACAATGCTTCACTTATGGTGAATGGTTATACTTAGAAAGAGGGAATCAATTATGAGAAAACCTTATTGCTAGTAGTAATATTAAAGTCTATTAGAATATTGTCGGTGATAATTGTACATTATGGTTAGGGAATTTGGCAAATGGATGTCAAGACCATATTCCTGAATGAAGATCTCATAGAAGATATTTATATGTTACAACCAAAAGACTTTGTTGTTAAGAGTTAAGAACACATAGTGTGCAAGTTCAATAGATCAATCTATGAACTAAAACAAGTTTCTAGAAATTGGAACATTCAGTTTGACTTAATTGTTAAACAGTTTAACATTGAAAAAAATCCAAATGAGCTTTATGTTGTTCTCAATGAAAGTATGACTTTTATAGCAATTATCCATTAAAGTTTTTGGAGAAATTTCTTACATCTTGGGACTTCAATTCTATAGAGATAAATTGAAGTATTTGATAGGACTGTCGTAGTTTATTTAATTAAATTGATAAGATTATCAAGTGGTTTAACATATGGGATTACAAGAAGGGATTTGTCATTTTTAAACACAGAATCACTTTCTCCAAGGGTATGTCACCTATGACTCCTAACGAGATTGAAGATATGAAAAAAGGTTCCTTATGGCTCTACCATTGGGAACATCGTATATGTTATGTTGTGCACTCGACATAATATTACACAAGTTGTTAGTGTCATAAGTAGATATCAATTTAGGAGCACTAGATAATAGTGCAAAATATACTTAATACCTAAGAAGAACAAAAGGTTATTGTCTTGTCTTTGATGGTATAGTTCACTATAAGTTATCGGATATATAGATTTCAACTTCTAATCATATCTAGATGATAGAAAACCTATATTTGGATATATTTTTATGTTTGGATCATGTGTGATCAGTTGGAGAAGTAGCAAATAGGAATCCACAATTGAGACCAAGTACATTGTTGCAAGTGAGACTACCTGGGAACCAGTATGGATGAAAAAAGATCATCCAAGAATTAAGAATTGTATCATCTCCTCTAACTAATCACTCATTCCATTGTTCTATAACAACACTAGAGCCATTATTTAAGATAAGGAGTCAAGAGCCCACTTGATATCATGAGGAAGTATCATATCCTAAGAGAAATAATTAGAAGAGGGGAAATCCAAATTTAGAAGATAGCATCAACAGAGAATGTAACAGACTCATTAATTAAATCACTAACTTAGAAAGTCTCTAAGGGACATGTAGATAGTATGAGACTATAACATGTAACTAATTGGACCTTAATACAAGTGGGAGATGTAGACAGTCTATGTCTTCAGCTCCAATCAGACTCGTGTGTGTTTTGGTATGTTTATGGGTATTACCCCTTAAGCTGGGAAAAACCTTAGCTGTTGGGAGCCAACAACCTATGTTATTGAGAGAATTTCTTGAAATGCCACATTACCATGAGAATGGGTAAATTAGTAATTATATCTTAATTTATTTTGACTAAAAACGAAAGTATTGGCATGAATAGGTGAACTACCACAAACTGTCTCAACAGCCTATGCTATTGGGTCCCAACAACCAAAATCAACCTCTTAAGCTGGACATTTATGAAGCTTATGTTAATTTTCAGCCATTAGATTTTAGGTGTGAACTACCACTTCGAGAGCTACAACTTTTCAGGTACGAACTTAATTTATTTTGGAAATCAAATTCGATCACCTAATAAATTAAAAGAGTTAAATTTCTCCATGGGAATTCTCCTATTAGATTTTAGGTGTGAACTACCACTTCGTAGGGACACTACGAGAATATAATTTCTCCATGGGAATTCTCCTATTCTTGGACTGATAAATTAAAAGAGTTAAATTTCACATCTATAGACCTGACAAGGTTTAGCCTTTTTGGGTATAAATCAGTCCTTTCAACAATAACCATGCCAAAAGATACGATACAATACAATACGACGGATAAGTATCAAAGTTTTGAACCTTGGATTCAAGCTTGTTCCATGATAATAATTAATGTGGGATAACATTTTAAGAATAGAGGTAAAGAAGTCCATTAATAGAATTAATAAAACAGTAATAATAAGAAAATATGGCAAGAGATAGAGTTGTTCGTGGTTGTTAATTCCATATACACTTAATTTGTTGGTAAAATGTGACTATCAATTACAATAGCCTAATTAGGAAGGAACATTCACATATATAACAAATAACAAATAACAAAAGCATCGATCATTGTGTGAAGAAATTAAACCAAAATGAAAAAAGCCCTAACAGCAAGGGTTATTTGCTCGAATTCCATTCCTGGGACTCATCCTACCTGATTCTAGCAGAACAAACAAAGATTGATCGATTAATGTTGATGAGAAAATTTTCCTCATCGCCCCTTTGGATTGATAAACTGAGAGAAGATCACGTCGTCACTGCTGCCTCCAGCTCCAAGGCCTAGAGTGGCGTGATACATTTCTATATCAGAACTACTGGCAGCCATTGGAGCGTTTGTTTCGCTATCATCCTTCTCCATTTTCACACCGTCGGGGTTCTCTTGCACTTGAAGGCAATACTCAAGATTCCACAACACATCACCCATGGAGGGGCGGTCAAGTCCATGATCAGACAAGCATTTCTCAGCTGTCTCAGCGAACTTCTTGAAGCATTCTGGGGTGATCTTTCCCTTCAGGTGAGGATCGACGATGTCCTCCAGCACTCCTTTCTTCTGGCAGTGTAAGGCCCAGTCTGCAAGACTGACTTGCTCCTTGGGAAGGCTTGGATTCAGAGCCGGCCTGGCGCACAACACCTCAAACAGAACAACCCCAAATGAGTATACATCGGACTTCTCTGTCAACTGCTGCCGTCGGAAGTATTCAGGGTCCAAATACCCAAAGCTGCCTTTCACCACTGTGCTAACATGGGACTGGTTCATCATGTCGGGACCAGTTTTCGACAGTCCAAAATCTGAAACCTTGGCCACCCACTTGTCGTCCAGAAGGATGTTGGTGGTCTTCACATCCCTGTGAATGATTGTGTATTTTGCACCAGTGTGGAGGTAGTGAAGTCCCCTTGCAGCTCCGATGCAGATCTCCAACCTCTGCTTCCAGGACAGAGGAGGTTTATTGGTCTTGTAGAGATGTTCCCTCAGAGTCCCAAAAGCCATGTAATCATAGACCAAAATCATCTCGTCGTTCTCCTCGCAGTACCCAATCAGAGACACCAAATGTCTGTGTCTCAACTTAGAAAGCATCTCAATTTCGGTCTGGAATTCATTGACTCCTTGTTCTGAAGATGGGTTTGCTCTCTTAATAGCTACCTTGGTGCTTCCATCAATAACTCCTTTATACACCTTCCCAAAGCCACCAACCCCAATAACCTGAGACTCATCGAAGTTCTTCGTACCATGCTTTATCTCCGCCAGGGAGAAATGCCTGCACAGACTAACAGCCAGGGATGAAAGGTGGCTGCTGGCAGTACTCTTTCCGGAGATGGTGGACTTGCTCGTCGTGGTGTGGCTACTTCCATAAAGTGGCAACCAACCATATGGACCGGCGGCGTCAGCTCCGACGACTTTCTTCTTCCTCTGGTATGCAGCAATGCAGATAGCGGCCACAAGCCCAACGGCAGCTGCACCACCAGCAGCCCCACCAATGACTTCGGCATTTCCATTGGACCTCGGCGGAGCAAACTCCCTCATTTCTTCGGCCTTGATGAGCATTGGCGACGGCACAGGGTTGGGCCCTGCCAAGTTCGCGTTGCTGTCATTGAGCTTGAATATCTCCAATCCATTAAGGATGGCATCATAGTATTCAGGCCTCGCAGAGACAGTGGGATGCAATGCCACCCACAGCATTTCATCACCGGGTTCTTCGGTAGAAAACACTGCAAAATCCTTGTACATCGGTATTCCCCTTCCACCAGACCATAAGATAACATCGGCCCCCACCTGTGCCGTCTGGTTGTTGACGTAAATGTCGAACACTCTCTGATTAACCTTGGTCATGTCCAGTTCACAGAAGTGAAATCTAACTACATACATGAAACTCCCATCAACCTGGAACACCCATGTGAGATTAGCATTCGCATTGACAGTGGATTCTGGTCCCATCGTCCTCGCAGAGCTGTAGACATCAAGCGGAGCTGCAGGCTTCTGCTCGTCGGTATATTGGATAGTTACATTCTTGCCAGCCTCAAAGGAGATACCCATATTAGCACCAAACAGATATGGAGAATCATCGTACCAGGTTCTGGTGAGGCCAGAATCATTTACAGGAGAAATATACTGCCCACCCACATTGAGCCTGTACATAGTCTGCAGATTAGAGCTCTGGACGTCAACGGGCTGATCGGGGAACCCCACCAGCATCGCATTCTGGAACACATTCGGCATCGGAATCACTTCAATGCCATTGATAAAAGCGTAGGAACCATCATGTTTGTCAGAAGGCGTGAAGGTGAGGCTGAGTTGGCCGGTGGGAACGGGGACCAGAGAGAATTCTCTGATGATGTAAGCCTGTGTGAGAGCTTCTGCTGTAATGTAAGCGCTGAAATTGTTAAGAAGTGTAACCCCACCTGCAACAACTGAGAAGAAGGCGTCGGTGGCGTTAAGGCCGCTGTAGGAAGTTGGATAGAAATGGAGTCTGACCCAGTGCCTGTCGTTTAGGGAAATGGAGAACTTGTATGAGGATGGAGCTGTGAAAACTCTGGCGCTCATGTATGGAATTGTAGAAGGAAGAGATGGGTCCTGGAATTCAGCTGTAGAAGGCATTGAATTATCCTGTGTCTCGAGGTACTTAGAGTCGGGCTCCCATGTTCTGCCATCGGAATCGGCGTCGGAGCTTGTAGAGCCGCAGCTCAGGAGGAACGAACCGGCGGAGGCTTCGGTCTTAAAAACGACATTTGAGAGGAAGGAGAAGAGAATGAGAGAGAACAATAGATGGGTTTTGGTGATCATGGCTTCAATGAAGACCCTTTAGGTAATAAGATGAGATTGGAGAAAGAAAAGAAAGAGAAACAACGGAGAGGTTTGGGCGTACAGGAAAACAGGCAAAAGAGATGAGCGTACGTTACAGTTACAGAACAAACACAGAGAAGAACGTTTTCCTGTACGCCTAAGGAGCGGAAAACGACCTGTGAGTTTTGTTCTGCACTTATTATTCTGTCATTCTACACCATCTTCCCCATCTCGGGCCCGAAACAGGCGAACCAGAGAAGACGAAGAACACTTAGGATGATCCAAAGTTCCTCTTAATTTTTCTCTCTCCTCTATTTTTTTCTTCCTTTGCTTTCCTCGTTTTCTTTGGGCTCGATCAGACATTGATTGACGAGAGGAAGGCAGTTAGAGATGAATGAATGAAAATGGGGAAAGAAGTTTGGCAGCATTGATTGGCTCCGGAACAATCGAACGTCCGTTAATGGTAGCGCCAAAAGCTGGAACCCTGAACTTAGCAAATCAGTTTGCAAGAGTTTTCAGATCTCGCTGACCTACCGCTGATTTCGTAAGTTTATTTTTGACTTGAGTTTCTCATGGACGAAAATATCCTTCATGTTTCTATAATATTACAATTTCCAATTCCGAATTGGATACCCCATCTCTATGATATTGGAATGCAGAGAATGTTGTTTTACACGTGTACTTGGGGGTGTCATTGGAAAACAAAAAGTTATATGGTTGTATTTTAAGAAATAAGAAATGACTCTTAAGGGGCGAGTTGGTCAATGGGATTTTGGTTCTCATTGACCAAGAATTCTTAGATGTACCAGGGGACCAAGGAAAGTTTATTTTCCTAGGCGCATAGGCCCATCTCCAAGGCCACCTAAGGAAAAGTTCCCAACACTAGAATGGGAGACAAAAATGTTCTTTTTAATAATGGATTTTTATGACTAAAATGGTTATTACCTTATTAAATGAGAAATAAAAGAACATAGGTAAACGCACTTATCCAAGTATGTGTTTCTCGGGAAAAACTTACCCAAATAACTGCATTTGCCCGGGTAAATAACTTTATGACTATTTTATCCTTCATTTTCATTTAAACTTTTAAAAGAAATAAAAAAGATATAAATCCGAATATGAATGAAGGCAGCACAGAATCTCACATTTTCCTCGCCAATCATTAGCCAAAGATGTAAGAGGCTTTTAACACAAATCTTGAGTTTGATTGATGAGCCCCACCCAGTCCAAGTCGAATTTTTGTTATATAAATTCCAATGTTGGATGTTTTAACAACCGTGCATATATATTGATTATACAATGCCATTTAGTAATAAAAAATTGTGTTCTCCCACCCAATTCAAGTTGGATTCTGATTGATGATTCCGATATCCAAAATGTGCTCTCTCATGTAATAAAAAATGGTGTGGCTAGTAGTCCTAAAATGGAGCTAAGTCTTTCTCAAGAACAAAGAGTATGCAATTCTAACTCATCAGTGCTGAGCATTAGGATTTGGAGTTTGAAGGTTGAGATGATAGAGTTTTGCTTATCAAACTAATTTAAGTCAAAAGATTTCCTCCGCACTGAAGTGCTGGTGTCCATCACTTTAGAAATTTTCTTTTCTTTTTTTTTTTTCTTTGAAAAGAGCTTATCTAGTTGCTCTTTAGCTTTTTTAGACCCTCCACTATAATTCTGGCCTCAGCTCAAGTTGCTTTTCCTTTCAGAACTGCCAAGAAGCGGATCTGAAACTTTAGGTAACACCATAGCGCTATCATCTTTGGAACTGGAATGAGTTCAGTTGTATGGTTTTGCAAGACTAGCTACAACAGCCTTCGGGCTTGAATTCTCTGTCACTATAGGCGTATTGGATCCTTCGCTGATTGTAAACTTACAAGTAGTGCCATTGGGGTTACCTGTCGAACAAGTGTAATGCACAACTTGGAGATCAAGCTCTAGCATATTCCCAGTCTTCCTAAATTCAGATCGAACCACCTTGGGAATTGATTTAGCTAGAGCCTCCATTTTCGTATGGTCTTTGGTTTCGACTTAATTTCTCAGTTTTTTTTTTCTTTTTCAGATGACACTCCTCCCTGTGTCCTTATTTATAATAGTAAATACAGTATTTAGGGAGGTCTTCATAGATCTTTTCTGCCAATAACCTTCCTTCTCTAGGCTAACCCACACACAAGAGGGGAGATCTTTCAGTAGGCCCACCTCAACCAAAACCCTACCCAAAGTAGTTCGAGTCAGTCGCTTGGTCACATAGTCCACTTTCAACACACACCCAGCCACTTGGGCGATGGATCAAAGATAGTTTTAGGCTCCATTTGGTTTGTAGGAAAAGATGGGATGGTAAAGTGTAAAAAATTATATTTTCATTGTTTGGTTTTATATATGGGAAAACACTGTTACGAGGGAGAAGAGAGAAGAGGAAGATGGAGGGAGAGACAAAGAACTCCATGACTGAAAATCCAACAAACCAAACAGAGCCTTAAGGTTAATTAGAAGGAGAAAAAAGTTCACTCAGAGGGGTATAATTGATGGTTCCCAACCTAATTCCATTCTAGGGGTGCATTAAAGCAACATAAAGAGATAGATAATCTTTAATCAGAAGCTCTCCTTCAACCATGCTTTGATAAAATCTTCTTCAAACAAAAATCTAATTAGAATGTGACGAGAATCAATGGCAGTCACCATGACATCTGCTTGAATTTTGAAAGAGAAAATTAGGAAATCCTGGATTTCAGCCATGGGTGGCCGACTGTAGACACATTTTCTAAGAAGAGCATAATGAAGAGGAGAAAGAGACATTTCGATCTCCTCATTTGTGACAACACAGCCGATTCCCCTCATTTGAAAGAACTTTGATAGCAATGTCACTGGTGGGAGGGATCAAGAGATGAGGGGAAAGGTGTTGAGAACGAAGTAGCAACAAAAATGGATGCAAAGAAGGCTTTCCTCCAGGGGGATCGCCAAGGTTTTCCACCTTGGTGCTCATCTTGAGGACTTTATAGGGCTATCTCAATATACTTAAATAGATAAGGTCATGAGGAGGTTCAACATGCAAGACTCTAAGAAGGATCCAATACCTTTTAGGCATGGAGTCACTCTCTCCAAGGGCATATCACCAAAGGCACCTAAGGAGGTGGAGAAGAATGAAGACATTCCCTTATGTCTTTGCCATAGGGAGCCTCATATATGCAATGTTGTGCAATCACCTATACATAGCACAAGTTGTCAATGTGGAAATTAAGCAAATACTTGTCATTGGACTACTATTGAAAATATACTCAAATATCTTAAAAAAACCAAGGATTATTTCCTTGTCTTTGAGGATAATGCATTGTAGGTTGTAGGGTATAAAAATGTCAATTTCTAGGGAAAACCAGATGATAAAAAGTTACCATTGGATTTATCTTCCTATTAGATTTAACAACTGTAAGTTGGAAAAGCAGCAAGCAAGGGTCAGCTACCAAATAGGCCGTATGGATGAATAATTCATTTAACAACTTGGAATAGTTTCTAGCAATACATCTTTTGTGAGGTCATGCTTTGGAGCCAAGAGCACACTTGAAGTCAAAGCACATCGAGCATAAGCATCACATCATTTGTGAGATCATGAAGCATGGGGATGTTTAAATTTAAAAGGTAGAGAGTATGGGGCTATGGCTAGTACTTGCTTGGAATTGAGTGTAAGCGGGAGTTGTTGGATAGTGTATGCCCTTAGGTCCAATTGTGTTTATAATTGATTGTTACTATGAATAAAAGTGCAATTATTTCATGTGTCATGTGGTGCACTTTTGCTAAATTAACCCTTGTATTACATTAGGATTATATTTAAAACATCATATTCAGTGTATAGTCTAAATGTCCTCAACCAGTGGATAGACTTTGGTAATCTAATCTTAACAAGGTTGACATTCACACACTACCTAAGTGATCAAGCAAGCTGTCTCACCTATTAGTGTTGTGACCCAAAGTATGAGAATGGGTGTTTGCTTGATGCATTTAACCAAACCAAGTTTTAGATTGTTTTTAGACTTTTGGATAGGTGGAATAGTTGAACCATTGTTTTTTTATCCCTAACATAATAATGGTATAACCGGATATCTAGTAAAGATGCTTTTGATATGCCACTCATTGGGATCCTTTTGGGGTCACATATAGGTATGTTAGAGCATTTATGAAGAGTATCTAGGTAAGTGATTATTGAAATATGATCAACCACTTTGTCAAACAAAGATAATATCTACGAACATACCCCCTTTAGTGGATAGAAAAATTATCCATAGTAGATTTCAAGAGCTATTCAGATCTACTTTGCAAAAGTATATATTTAAGAGTAAATTGTTGAAACCTCCCTTGAAATTTGATAATTGCAATCACCTCCCTTGAACTTTGTAACATAGATGCAAATAAATTCCATTTATTAGAATCCTTTAGCAATTGGCACAAAATGCCCAAAATACCCATGCAATTAATTTTTAACCAAGTAGTTTATTTTCCAATTTTTCTATTCATATTAATCACTACCCCAAAACCCCTTTTAATCTCTTTTCTGAAATTGATTTATTTTTTAAATCTGCCCTTCGTATTAATCGCTCAAAGGTAAAGCTACAACTTCAAACTCTTTTTTTTTGTTCATAAAATTTGTATTGTTTTTTCTATAAAAAACAACCTCAATAGTAATTACATAAACATTTTGGACATTTTTGTTCCTCTTGTTAGAGGATTCTAATAGAGGAGGCCTACTTACAACTATTTCAGAAAGTTCAAAGGAGGTTTTAGCAGTGCTTAGGCTCAGTTTGGAAGGAGTACAAATGCAAAATATGTAGAGTGCAAAACCTTATATTTTTTATTATTTTGTATGTATTTGCACCGTACATACTTGCATTTGTACTCCTTCCAAACTAAGCCCTTGAAACTTCAAGGGAGGTTTCAAAAGTTTACCCTATATTTACTTACAAATAGTTTATTTTTGAAAAGGTGTTTGCAAAAAATAATTCTTTCCTGATATCCTCGTCTTGGATATTGATAGTTGGGAGATCATGTAGCAAATATCTTATTAATCTCAAAAACTTGATGGAGATATAATTGGAATTGGACCAATAGGACTTGGGCTCATAGGGTAGATGAAGCCCAAGTAGTTACAATTAAGTACTAATGGGTTGAAACGTTCAGGACCATAATTTAATGGACGAGTTACTATTCTGTCTAGTAGTCCCAACTTAGTTCAATTGAGTAAGTGGGCTCTATTATGGTGGGTCTCACACCATATAGAAACCTATGGAAAGTGGTTCAAACAAGATTGCAGAAACTTCTAGTATGAATAGAAACCTAACTAGTTTTGACTAGTCAAACTTGGACTGAATTTGTGGCTCATCTAAAACCAACCATTACCCAATTTGATTATGACTTTTCTAGGGTTTATTTCAGACTTATTAGAAGCCTTCAAATACCTATTAGAGGCTAGAAATATAGGACGCATGTTCATCTATTGCAAAGAAAAATATTCAATAAAAAACCTAGTTGATACCTAGT